CACATTGCCCTGAATCCTTCCAACCCCACGCTTCCCCCAACCCCAACCCACCACACACCCGTATCACCACCTCAACCTGCGTGCGCGCTGCTTGTGTTGCAAAGGTTGGCGTGGGCCCGCGTGGCGTGATCTCGGTGCTGTGGCACTTGAAGATCAACCAGATTGTTGTTGGCTGCACGGACGGTCGCATCAAGGTCTTCTTTGACCCGCGGAAGAGCGACAAGTGGGTAATTGCGTGCACAGATGCTTTGGCACACGTGATGTTTTTGAGTGGTTGACGGTGTCACGCTGATGGTGCCATGTTGCGTTGTCGTGACCTGTTGTCGAAGCCTGATCACTCTCGTCACATACACAACTGCGCACCTCAATCAATCACTACCTCCATCCGTGATCAACACAAACCGCATCACCACTCATGACTGCTCCTCACCGCCACTCATGACTACTCACCACCACCACCACCACCACCACCACCCAGGGGTGCCAAGCTATGTGCAACGCGCGCCCCGCGAGAGGAGGATCCGCTTGATCGTCTTTTCATGAGCGACGCCGTCATGGCTGGTCTGTACGCAATCGCAATCACAATGGCCGTGGTTTCGATGGGTGAATGGGTGATGGGTGATTGGTGATGATGATGGCGATGGTGCATGGTACTGGCGGTTATTTGGTGTTGCGTCTCTCTCTGTCTCTCTGTCTCTGTCTCTCTCACACACGTACACGAACACACACACACACACACTTTCTGCCTCTCTCCACCTCTCTCTTTGCTCACACTCTACCATCCACCATCCACCACCATGGCCATCGACCCCGCACCTCATCCACCGTCGCCACTCTCCAGCAAAGGCCGGTGTTGCGTGGGGCGAGGACGTGCGAACACTTCGCCGAACAGCCAAGAGCCGCAAGGACAAAGAACGGTGGGGACATGTGTGCATTGCGTGGGTGTGTTGCGTGTAGGTACGTGTAGATACGTGTAGATACGTGTAGATACGTGTGTGCGCGTGTTGTCTTGTGTTGGTCACCCTCTCATCACATCACGACTGTCCCCGTAACGACTGTCTGCCATGCGTGCATCTTGTGCCGTGTGCATGTGCGTGTGTGCGCGATGACAGGAAGGATCCGCTGAAGAGCAAGAAGCCCGAGGAGCCCGTCAAGTCCGACCGCGGCGTCGGTGCGTTCCTCCCCTCCTCCTGTCCTGTCTGTGTGTGTGTGTGTGTTGTTTGTGTGTGTGTGTGTTGTTTGTGTGTGTGTGTGTGTTGGTTGCTTGGTTGCTTGGTTGCTTGGTTGCTTGTGATTGTTTTGTGGTGCGTGCATGCATGTGAACGTGGAGAGATCATCGTGTGGCTGTTCCAGCACATTTTTTCTTGTTTCGCTTCAACCACCATGCATACGTTCACCGACACTCGAACCACCACCACCACCACCCCTGTTTATGCCTCTGCTTTCTCCGTTCTTTCTTCTCTTCGCGTGCGCTGTTGGTGTGTTGTGGACAGGCAAGGGCGGTCGGTTGATGGGGTACACGTCCTCGCTTTCACAGTACATTGCAAGCAGGACAGCCTACGTGAGTACACATGTGTGAATGTGAATGTGTGTGCGAATGTATGTGTGTGTGTGAATGTGTGTGTGTGTGTGTTTATGATGAATCGTGCAATTTTAGCGTGCGCATGTTCAATGCATGCCTGTTGACCCACTCACAACTCACATACACACACACATATGCACACGTTCACAACTCACACACACACACACACACACACACACACACACACACACACACACATATATATATATGCATGCATGCACGCACCGTCACGTTGGGATAGGATCCCACACGTGACGAGGATCCACGCGAGGCAATCTTGCGTCATGCAGAGGCGGCGGAGAAGGAGCCGTACTACATTGCGCGCGCATATGCAAAGACGCAGCCAGAGCCCGTTTACGACATGGCTGAGCACCCCGAGGAGGAGGTGAGCGATATGTGTTTGTGGGTGTACGTGTAATGTGTATGTGTATGTGTATGTGTATATGTGTATGTGTATGTGTATATGTGTATGTGTATGTGTCATGTGTATGTGTATGTGTATGTGTTATGTGTATGTGTATGTATATGTGTATGTGTACGTGCATGTGTGTGAATGTGTACGCCCTCGTTTTGCTCACACCATCACCATCACCATCACGCCCACAGGAGCCGAAGAAGAAAAAGAAGAAGAATATGAAGCCTTTCTCCTGAATCCCCCCCCCCCCAACTCGCATGTTGTCGTCCCTCGTGTCCTGACATGATCATGTAGTTGTTTGGGATTTGGTTGCGTGAGGCACGCAAGGCCAATGTGTGTTTATGTTACAAAGAAGGGCCAGCACCGCTTGGCGATGCAAGCAGAAACAGACAAAGAGGAGGAACAAGAAGGGACAAGAGGGGAAGAGGGAAAAACCAAAAAAGGAGGGAAAGGGCAGGCACCCGAAGAGAGAGCACATGTGATGCAAGTGTCATCATCATCATCATCACAACGTGAATTGACACAAGACGAGACAGAAAAAAGAAGGGGCAATAGAAGCGGTACAGTTACGGGTGCATATGTCTGGTTTCACGAAAGCAAGGCAAAGGCAAATGCAAAGGCAAATGCAAAGGCAAAGGCAAGCATGATGTCTGGTTATCTGGTGCAAGATGGCACACTGTGGACACAGTGGACAAGAGAAACAAAGAAGAAGAAATGGGGAAAAGGGTGTCACATCAAATCAACAGGTTGGAAGCGGGTGCAGAACAACAACAACAACAACAACAACAACATCTCAGCCCCTGCTTCCAAAAAGACGCCAGTTGCCTACAAAGGTCGCGCACACCACCACCACCACCACCAACACCTCAACATGCGCCACACGTTGCTGCAACGAGTTGCCTAGTTTGTGGTCTTGGCCTTGTCCATGTCGAGGCAAAGGCGGTCAATGTCCACGCCGTGCTGCTTGCAGATGGCCTTGAGCCGCTCCCACTCGCGCTTGAGCTCGGCAACGTTGCCCTTTGCTTGTGCAATGCGCCGCTTCAGGTCAATGGCCTGTTCCCGCAGCTCCTGCAGTCGCTGGCTCGACCCCGTCAGGCCCGCGCGGCTGCGGCGCTTGTGCGTGCGCCCCTGGTACCGCCTGCGCGCGTCCTTCAGGTTGTCCTCGTCCTCCTTGGACAGGTTGTTTTCCTTCACCCACCGCCGCAGGTCCTGGATGGGGCACGTCATCAGCGCGGGGTCCCACCTGCTGTCCTGCTCCCGGATCTCCGCCTTGGAACGCAGCGCCCGCTTCTTGCCGCGCTTCGTGCTGCCGCTGCTGGCCGTGCTGGTGGTGCTGCTGCGACCAGAGGCGTTGCCCCTGCGCGGGCTGCGGCCCTTCTTGCTCGCCCGCCCCGACGCCGTCAGCTTCTTGCCTGCTGGCGACGACCCCTTGGTGCTGCGGCGGCCTTTGCTCGCCCGCGCAAACTTGCTGCCGATGCGCGTGTCGTCATCCTCTTCCTCCTCTTCGTCCTCGCCGTCGGAGTCATCGTCGTCGTCGTCGTCACCATCACCGTCATCGTGGTCGTGATTGTGCCGCTTGGGGGTGCTGTTGCCGCTGTCGGCAATCGACAGGTGCTCAAACATGCTTGTCGACTGCATGTGCACAAGATGCGCCGCTGCGGGCGACGACGGTGTTGGGGTTGCCAGCAGCGGGCCAGAGAACAGCTCCGCGCCCTCCTCCAGGATGGCGTCCATCTCGTCGTCCTTGCTCGTCGCCATCGACGTCACCGGCATCTCCGCTGGCGGTGCCGGCGGCGTGGGCGTGAACGCGCCACAGAACAGCGCCCTGGAGTGCGCGTATGCGTTCTTTGCCTCGGCAACGTCCGCCCCGTAGCTGTGCGCGTCCGGCTTGAACTGCTCGGGGGACCGCGGCTCGGACCGCAGATTGTTGAACGGCGACGTCGCCGCCGACATCTCACTGCGCGGCGTGTTGGAGCGCGGGCGATCCTGGGCGCGCGCGCTGTCTACCTCTGCCTCCTCCTCGTGCTGCTGCTGCTGTTGCTGATGCGGGGTCAGAGATGGTGGCGGTGTTGGCGGCAGAGCCCAGGCGTCGAGCGGGTCATCGTTGGGCGATGGGAAGAACGGGAACGAGTGCGGCAGCGCGTTTGGCGATGGCGGCTTGGCGCCCACTTGACGCATCAAGGCGGCGTCGTTGCTACTGTTGGCGGTGGCAGCAGCTGGTGCCGTGACATTGCCACTTGCCATGACAAAGGGTTGGTGTTGGTGTTGGTGTTGGTGTTGGTGTTGGTGTTGGTGTTGGTGGTGCTGGTGTTGGTGCTGGTGCTGCTGGGGATGGGATGCGGAGCCGGTCACCAGGTCGAGGTTGAGGCCCGATCCAGAGTCGTTGTACTCCAAGCCATCGTCAAAGTCATAGGCGTGGAAATACTCCATGGTGGTGGCTGGTGGAGCAAACTCGAAATCAAAGATGTCGCTAACCGCGCTGCTGTTGCTTCTGCTGTCGTCGTCGTGGTTGTTGTTGTTGTTGTGGTGGTTGTAGTGGTTGTAGTTGTAGGTGGCGCTGGTGTTGTCGAAGGTGAACACGCTGCTGGCGCCCTGGCTCCTTGGTGGCGTGGAGTTGCCGCAGCAGGGCGGGGGCGCAATGGGGGAGCGCAGGGCGTCCTCTTCCGCGGCTTCTGGCGCCTCGACCTCCTCCGTTGTGGTGCGATCGACGAGGCGGGGGAGCGGGAGAGGCGTCAGCTGTGGCGCGGGGGGAGCGGCAGCGCCGGTCGATGCAGCTGCAGACTGATCAAACGATGATGCCGCCACCGAAAGCTGTGGCTGTTGTTGTTGTTGTTGTTGTTGCGTTGGCTCAAAAGGAAAATTGAACGTGCTGTCCGCCACAGGGGAAGGGGCGGGAACAGGGCACGGACTGCATGGTGGCTCCACCATGCAATGGCTGTTGCGGTGGTGGTGGTGGTGGTGGTGGTGATGAAGGTGCTGTTGCCGAACAATAGATGCCATTGTGGCTGGCGTGTCTGTCCTCATGATGGGCTGTCCTGATGTGAGGATATGGCGGGGTATCTGAGTGCTTTTGTTTCGCGCCGCGTTGCTGTTATCGAATGATGATTGTTGTTGTTGTTTCTGGTGGTGGATGTCCTGACGATCAAAATGAGAGAGAGAGAGAGCTCAATCCTTGTCTGTTCTCCGAAAACGAACCTCGGAAGTGGAGGAGGGATCGGTGGAGGTTATTTGTGGGTGCTGTTGCTGCTGATGTGGAGGTGTGTTGGCAAATGGAGAGTGGGACTCAGCAGAAACAAAACAAAGGCGGTTTTGTTCACTCGTCGAGTGTGTGGCGGGAAAGGATGCAAGAGAGAGGAGAGGGGAGGAGAGGAACAGCAAGGGGAAATGCCAAGCGTGCTGACTGGCTGCAACTTGGGTGAGAGAGTGTGTCACAAACAGCCGCTGCGGTGAAACTGACACGGTGGCAGAGAGAAAGAGATATGATGAGGCGAGATGCGTGTTGCGTGAACAATTGCTTCTTCTTGGTGGTGGGGTGCGGGAAGAAATGAGCAAGAAACGGGCGACCGAGCACTGCTGACTGTGTGTGTGTGCGTAACAAACAACAGAGAAAATCTGACTCAGCGAACGAACGCACACACACAAACACAAACGCAAGCAAAAGCAAGAGCAAGCAAGAACCAGCACGCACGCCAAAAATAATCTCACAACAGCAACAACAAAGGACACCACTGATTGTGCTGACGTCAGCGTATTTGTCTCTTGTGCTGTCGCAAACCATGATCGGAAGCGGTTCGTGCTGCAAGCGTTTGGGGGTTGTGTTGGCAGAATGCGTGTGGGTGTGTGTTGCTGCGTGGCTACATGAAGCGTGGGAGGGGTGTGTGCTTCCTCGTTGCTTCCTGTTCGATGTGTGTGTTTGTATTTAGCACGTGTTTGCTGTTTGTGTTGTTGTGGTTTGTGTTTGTATTTGGGGTTGTTGCGATGGTGAACAAGTTTGGAGTGGGCTGTGATGTGTGACTCATGCGTGAGTCATGTCATGTCACATGTCAGCGCCTTCAAAGCAAGCAACTGTGTGTTGCTGCTGTTCCTGTCTTTGTTCTGGGCTATTCTTGACATCGTGGTGGTAATCTGCGACGTCGTGGCATCCACGTATGCTCACTGCTGCTGGTCATCATGCAAACAGGAGGAAGGCTGGCGTGGGTGGTGTCCCGCATCATCCTGTACACGGCAGTCGTCGTGTCGGGGTGAGTGAGTGTGTGTGTGTGTGTGAAGATGTGTGTGTGTGTGTGTGTGTGTGTGAAGATGTGTGTGTGTGTGTGTGTGTGTGAGTGAGTGTGTGTGTGAGTGTGTGTGTGTGTGTGTGAGTGCTAGTGAGTGAGTCAGTGAGTAAAGACATGTGTGCGAGTGTGAGTGTGAGTGCTAGTGAGTGAGTCAGTGAGTAAAGACATGTGTACGTGTGAGTGTGAGTGTTTGCTTTCCCCTTCGCCCCCCCCCAACACCTTTCCCATTTCTCCCACTCACCCGTTCACACCTTGGTGCAGCTTTGCCATTGCAGGGATCATTGGCACAACCAAGCTGCATGAAAAGTCGTCCACATGTCTCCTCAACACAGGTCCGACATGTTGTTGCGTGTGTGCGTGCTTCATCACTACCAACAGACGCAGCGTCATGGGCACCACCACTACCACCACCACCACCACCTCTCCACCACCACCAGCAGCGCCAGTGTTGATGCTATGCCGCTCACGCTTGTCCTCCCTCCCTCATGTGCAGAGGTGCGGATGCTGTCCAAAGATGAGTGCTGCACACGATTCGTCTGCCAGACGTGCAAGCGTCAAGAGGACTGTGCCGACACCAGCTACCCTTCCACATGCACAGGTGGCAACTGCCAACCAGACCAGGTACCATGCGTCTGTCTGTGTCTGTGTGTGCAGATGCGTGTGCAGATGTGTGCAGATGTGTGTGTGTGCAGATGTGTGTGTGTGTGTGCAGATGTGTGTGTGTGTGTGTGCAGATGTGTGCGTACGTGTCTCTCTCTCTCTCTGTTTGTGTGTGTGTGTGTGTGTGTGTGTGTGTGTGTGTGTGTGTGTGTGTGTGTGTGTCAGCGTGTCCCCAATCTGCTACACACTCTCACTCCTTGTGCTCCACTGTGTTCCCTCCACGCACTCTTCCATCGTCTCTCCTTCGCATCCCCCGCACCAAGTGCTTTGCGAGCAGCGGTGCCACGAAGACGAGTAGGTGCAAGTATGTCATCACCTTTGGCGCCATCTCGGGCTCCCTCGCCCTCATCATGGTCTTTGCAAACGTCTACAAGGCCTGCAACAAGAACGCCGAGGCCCTCAAGTGCGTACGCAGCGGCGTTTGCGTATCTGTGTGGTGTTCTGTGGTTGCTGATTGTGCGTGTGCGTGTGTGTGTTCGAACATTTGGGTTCTGTCCGCGAGCCCGTCGGTGTGTGTGTGTGTGTGTGTGTGTGTGTGTGTGTGTGTGTGTGTGTGTGTGTCTGTC